AATCTCCTGGTGTGCCCGCTTGCTTAAAGCGCAGTATTGGGGTGGGAGTTACCCGATTTTCCAGGTGTTGTGTGTCTCAATTCCCCTGACTAGGAAAAGGGATTCCCTTCCCCCTTGTGCTTCCCAGGTGAGGCGATACCTCGCCTTGCTTCAGCTCTCGCTGGTTGTGCTGCAGTAGCTGACCAACACCGATTGTCCAGCACTCCCTAGTGAGATGAACACAGTACCTCAGTTGAAAATGCAGAAATCACCGGTCTTCTGTGTCGCTTGCGCTGGGAGTTGGAGATTGGAGCTGTTCCTATTCGGCCATCTTGCTCCGCCTGTATCTTATAATTAATTTAGGCCAGGTGTAATGGCTCACGCCTGCAATCCTAGCACTGTGGAAGGCAGAGGAAGTCAGAATTTGTTGACTCCAGAAGTTCAAGATCAGCCTGGGCAAAACCCCCATCTCCACAAAAAAATTAGAAAATTAGTCAGGCATGGTGTTTCATGCCTGTAGTCCCAGCTACTCAGGAGGCTGAGATCAGAGGGTCCCTTGAGCCCAGGAAGTGGACACTGCAGTGCATGGTGATCATGCCACCGCACTCCAGCCTGGGTGACAGAGTGAGACTTTGTCTCAAAAATAATAATGATGATGACGATACATTTGTACATTTGGAGTAAATGCAATTTAACATGTAATAAAACATCCTCTCTTGTGAAAATGTATTATTTATTTACGATTCAGTAACAAATTATGTAACACTTAGCTCAAAACAACAAATATTCATCATCTCCCACAGTTTCCAATGGTTAGGAATCCAGGAGAAGTTTCCCTGAGTGCTTCTGGCTCAGAACCTCTCACAAGATTGCAGTCCAGTTGTCAGTCAAGGGCTGCATCATCTGAGGGCTTCATTGGGGCTGAGGATTCACAAGAAAGACAGATCAGTCACATGGCTGTTGGAAAAGGCCTAGTTCCTTGTTGTCTAGTCCCGGAAGGCCTCAGTTCTCAGTCACATGGACCTTCCTGCAGGGCTACTTATGGCAAAGCAGCTGGATTCCCCCAGAGCTCATGATCCCAGAGACAGAGAGAGAGAGAAGGTGGAAGCTGCAGTGAGTTTTATGTTCTACACCCAAAGTCGCAAACTGTTATGTCAGCATTATTCTATAAGTTAGAAGTTGTATTAGTCCATTCTCACAGCGCTATAAAGAAATACCTGAGATTGGGTGATTTATAAAGGAAAGAGGTTTAACTGACTCACAGTTCTGCATTGCTGAGGAGCCTGCCCCAGCAAACTTAGAGTCACGGCAGAAGTAGAAGCAAACATGTCCTTCTTCACATGGTAGCAGGAGAGAGAAATGTAGAATGAAGCAGGGAAATGCCCCTTATAGAACCATCACATCTCATGAGAATTCCCTCAGTATCATGAGAACAGCGTGGGGGAACTGTCCCCATGATCCAGTCACCTCTCATGTGGTTCCTCCCCCAACAGGTAGGGATTACAATTCGAATGACAATTCAAGATGAGATTTGGGTGGGAACACAGAGCCAGTCTATATCAGAAGTGCCTCATTAAGTCTACGCCACGCTCAAGAGAGGGAATTAAGCTGCACCTCTGGAAGGGAACAGTATCAAAGGATTTGAATATATGTTAAAAGCAAAATTAAAACTATTGTTTCTGGTTTTTGAAAATCAAAGGCTTCTTTTATCTAATTATTTTTCATTAACTCTTTAAGCTTGTCTTTTAATTTAATTGTATTTTAAGTTCCAGGGTATATGTGCAGGATGTGCAGGTTTGTTACATAGGTAAACATGTGCCATGGTGGTTTGCTGCACCTATCAACTCATCACCTAGGCATTAACCCTGGCATGCATTAGCTGTTTTTGCTAATGATCCTCCCAACCACTGCCCTCTCCCAACAGGCCCCAGTGTGTGTTGTTCCTCTCACTGTGTCCATGTGTTCTCATTGCTCAGTTCCCAATTATAAAAGAGAACATGTGTTGTTTGGTTTTCTGTTCCTGTGTGAGTTTGCTGAGGATAATGGCTTCCAGCTCATCCATATCCCTGAAAAGGACTTGATCTCATTCCTTTTTATGGCTGCATGATATTCTATGGTGTATATGAACCATATTTTCTTTATCCAGTCCATCATTGATGGGCATTTGGGTTGATTCCATGTCTTCTCTGAAGACTATTCACTATTCACTATTCCACTGTGAATAGTGCTGCAATGAGTGTAAACATGCATATATCTTTATAATAGAATGATTTATATTCCTCTGGGTATATATCCGGTATTGGGATTGCTGTGTCAAATGGTATGTCTGGTTCTAAATCTTTGAGGAATCTCCACACTGTCTTCCACAATGGATTAACCGATTTACTTTTCCTCTCACAGTGTAAAAGCATTCCTATTTCTCCGCAACCTCGCCAGCATCTGTTGTTTCTTGACTTTTTAATAATTGCCATTCTGACTGGCATGAGATGGTATCTCATTTGTGGTTTTGATTTGCATTTCTGTAATGATCCGTGATGTTGACCTTTTTTTCATGTTTTTGTTGGTCACATGTGCGTCTACTTCTGAGAAGTGTCTGTTCAGGTCCTTTGTCCACTTTTTAATGAAGTTGTCTTTTTCATATAAATTTGCTTAAGTTCTTTGTAGATTCTGAATATTAGAACTTTGTCAGATGAGTAGATTGCACAAATTTTCTCCCATTCCGTAGGATGTCTGTTTGCTCTGAGGATAGTTTCTTTTGCTGTGCAGAAGCTCTTTTGTTTAATTAGATCTCATTTATCAAGTTCTGCTTTTGTGGCAGATGCTTTTGGCAATCTCATCATAAAATCTTTGCCCATCCCTATGTCCGGAATGGTATTGCCTAGATTTTCTTCCAGGGTTTTTCTAGTTTTGGATTTTACGTTTAAGTCTTTAATCCATCTTGAGTTAACTTTTGTGTAAAATGTAAGGAGGGGGTCCAGTT